GGTGTACCTAATAAAGTGGCCGGTGAGTGTATATCTCCACTGTATAACTGTTTTTTTTCTGATTTTGTTTATTTGTGTGTTGCTTCTCATAAATATTTAACCTCAGGTTAGACAAAACCTATAAAACATTCAACTTTAGGTGACGTTTCTTTTCTTGTGTGCTTCAGATTAATTATAGCTGCAGCTCTCGGCACACAAACACACATTCACCACATTCAAACATGACTACATTTCAGTGCTGTTCCTGTGGGAAGCAGCTCTCTGAAATGCTGTTGGGGCAGTGCATTAGCCAGTGATGCTGCCAAAACACACAAACTGCAAAACTCAGTGGTGTCACAGGAAGATCTGACTGAGACACAGTAAGGGAGAACGAGGGCTGGAGCGTGGTTTTCCTGAAGTCAAAGCCAGACATTCATTATTAGTCCTTCTGGAATTGCCAACAGCTTTACTTTGTCCTTGACAAACCCGAGACACGTCTGTGGTTGTACTAACTAACTTTATGAAACTGTTAATAAAAGAAAAAAAGTACCAGGGAGGACAGGAAGAGATAATAGAAAAAAAGGAAATGTTTCTGCTAAAACTAGGTTCTCTCGACAGGCATTTGTTAACAAAATGTGAGGCACAGATTCCATAGATAGAGGTGAGAAATGAGAAGAAACAAAACCTAAAGAGAACTGTAAGACGCTGAGGCAGATTGAGGAGGGGGAAAAATCAAGACAAAAAAATAAAAAAACATCCCATTAGAGAAACTCCCAAACAAGTGAACATTACCTAATAAGGACAGGCAGAGTGAGGAGCAGGCAGGCAGGGAGGGACTCAGTTAAGCTGCGCAACATGTAAACATGACAAGCAAGTGTCCTTCAAAGAGCTGAGAGATAAACAGAAAGCAGTACCGTTCCAGAAGAGGCGCAGCTCCTTAGGATAAGTCAGGATGGCTGCTTCCTCCTTCATTACTGAGCTCTGATAGGAGACGAGGAAAGGCACGGACTCCCACACCTGAGACACGCCAAGAAATGTCACTGGCTTTTATTACGTCCTGAAGTTCATAAATAAAACTTGAAAACTGGGGATTTCCTGATAAAAATGGCTGCATCTCTGTGTACCTTGGCTGCATTGACAAGTCTCCACGCGTTGAGCAGACCGAAGCCATGCTGGTGGCTGTGATGAAAGCCGGCTCCGTTCACCCTCCAGTCAGCGCTGGCATCACACTGTTAAACACACAGACGTTACACACTGACATTACACACACAGAAATTACACACTGACATTACACACACAGAAGTTACACACTGACATCACACTAGGGCTGGGCGGTATGACCTCAAATTCATATCATGGTATAAATTGAATCCCTTCACGTAACGGTATATATCGCGGTAGAAAATTATTATAAAAAGCAAAAATAATGTAATTTTTAGAGCGTTTTTTTTTTTTGCAAAAAACTGTAATCTTAATCAAACCCAGCATTTTTGCTTTAATATCTGCCTGCCATACAATGAGCCTCTGCCTGCTGAACTTAGCTGCTGCTGCTCTGCTGCGCGCTCATCTTCATCAGAGCAGAAGCTGACTTTACATTAGCATTATGACATTAGCATTATACATTATGACTGAATGAATGTCCACGTCTTTTTTTTATCATCTCTGTGGGAAACTGTAAGAAATACGTGTTTTATATCGGCTGGAATCAGATGAAAATACAAGTGTTAAATAAACTGATCTGTGATATGAAATAAATGTCATACAACACCAGAATTCTGGAGAGTCGAGTGAGGTTTATTTGTCACTGGACTGACAAGCCAAACTGCACTGAATGAAAAACAGGAAGTTCCCGTTTAAATACTGTACACGATTCTTCAATGCCTGAGTTCGCCCTCTGCTGGCCTACGGCTGAATCACAGGCATTCAGACAAAGACCTGGCACTCATGTTTTCAAAACAGTTCTTATGTGTTGTATATGAATTCGGACATGTAGCTACAGTATTTCAATTAACACATAATAGATCAAACATTATAAAAGTGTTATAAAAAGAAAACCCTAATACTCTGGTGTTGTTTCTTATATCAGTACTAATCTATAAATAACTAAATTTCTTTAAAACAATACATAAAAACAAGTTTTTTCTCTGACAACTTGGGTGTGAAAAAACTGTTGTTATTAACCCATTTGTGCCCAGTTTTTTTTCAGAGTTGTAAGGCATATCATTTTATCAGTTCAGTCCCTCTGAATCATGTTATGTAATTATTTTCACCATTTTGTACTTTGTTTTGAAAAAAAAATAGTATTTTTATGACAGGCAGCAATTGTTGCCAGTGGGCACACAGCTTGTCACTAAGTCCAATGTCACCTGTTCATAATAGAGAACTAATAGTAATATCAAAATAATAATGTGGTCAGAATAAATAACAAAAAGGTGGAGCCTCAGGTTCCTCCTATATAAAATTCCAAACAACAAACAATTTGAACATTTTTTTTATTCTCAATGTTTTATACTCAAAACTTATTTTATTTCTTAGAACCTCTAATAACACATACACTCACCGGCCACTTTATTAGGTACACCACGCTAGTAATGGGTTGGACCTCCTTTTGCCTTCAGAACTGCCTCAATTCTTC